GAAGAGGAAATCAGGACCCCAAGACCTTAGAACAAGTCTTTTCCAGCTGAGAGATACTCAGAACTGCAAGAGGCCCCAAAGTGTTTTGGGCTCACACTCATGTTCACCTCCCTGAGATATTCTCCAGTTTTTGGCCTACCCAGAGCAACCATTCTCAAATGAACTCTGATTATTAAGAACACTTTTCTCTACTGAAATCTGCCTTCTATGGTTTCTACTACTTTGAGAAGTGGTAAAGAAGAAAACTTCATTGTTGTAGGCACATATTTTACGTATATATGTTCACATGTTTCTGAAATCATGTGACCTTTGGGTACATCACTTAACATTGTTGAGTCTCTTTGATTTTAGTATTTGATAGATGATCACCTCTACTCGTAGTGAGACAGTGGACAGCATGTGAAACTCCCTTGCATGCAAGCTTCAGAATACTTTAAGGTATAGATTTATCTCAGTGCCATTTGCCGCCTTTCTTTTCACTCTTCCCTTTCATTGTATTTGTATTTAATGTGTATTTAAACAAACTCTGCTACCAAACAACAGCCTAAAATTGTTTCAGGCTAGGGAGATGGCTCAGTGGCTAACATGCTTGTTGGCCACGAGTGAATCCCTAGTATCCATATAAAAGTTGAGTGGTGGTATACTTTTTTAATCCCAGAACTCTGGAGACAGAGGCAGGCAAGTCTCTATGAGTTCAAGACTAGCTTGGATCACAGAGCAAGCACCAGACCAGCATCCAGGACTATACAGTGAAACTCTGTTTTTGAAAAACAAATTAAAAAAATTTACAGATGTCTGAATTGCCTCAGATATCTGTAACCCTACTCCTGGGAGGCAGAGTCAGTGGATTCCAGGGCCTCACTGACCAGCCAGTCAAGCTAAAACATCAAGCTTTATGTTGGGTGAAGAAATGTTCTCCACAAGAAGGCTGGAGATCGATGTCAATGAAGACATACCAACATCAGTTTTTGGCCTTTACACATGCCTGTGTGGGCATGCACGCTTGCACACCCACATACAAATTGTTTCAGATATCTATGATATGTGCTGCTCCTCTCCCCTTCTTAACTCTTTTTACTTCAATGGGGAAATGAAAACACCCATTCTCCTTCACTCTGTGAAGATTAGGTCAAAGGTGACATCTCTGTATAGAAAGAAACTAAGTTAAAGGCATGCACTAACATATGACTCCATCATGACCTGTTCCCACTGTCTCCTAAGAGTTATTGAGCAACTTGTGTAGATGTTATTATACTCCTAGCTATAGAATCAGATCTTTAGTATATGACACTGAAGTGAGTTCAATGCAGGATTTCTTAAAGACCTTAGGAAACATTCAGTGCTTTGGTAGATTGACCATGGCATAGCAACGGATCCTCAACCTTCTGCATTTATAAACTTATAATGGGAAAACATTTAAAATGTGTAGAGTTTCTAGACATATCAGAGGCTCTAATAAGTGATTCACAACAAAATGTGGTCAGAATAATGTTGTCACTAATTCTCAAATGTCACCAGGGGCAAAGTAAAGCAATGCTTCTGTGCTATGCATATACGGTTCCCAGGGACAGGTTTCTGCAATCCATAGTTCAAACAGAGAATATTTGGACCAATTTCTCTACTATGATTGAGTGTATTTCATAGTTCTCCTGTGAGTTATTTGGTTAGAAACAGAGAAACTAAATATCAGAGTTATTTATAACTGAGCCATCTCATGAAGACTAAATGATAAATGATAAGACACACAAATTATTAGGCATGAGTTGGAATGATAAAGCAAAACCACAAGTTTTACAGTTACAAGCCCATGTTTCTGGTAAGTGATTCAGCAGTATTCACCTTACTTGCCTCAAACCAAAGTATTTGCCACATCCTAAGGAGATGTGGTCAGAGGGTTCACAGCTTGAGACCCTGAGAGAGGTGATGGGAAGAGCCCATCATTCTAGAAGGTTAAGATGTGAGTCCCATCTTCCCATTTGTAGAAACAAATGACCTTTAAAAGAAGACCTGATGGGCAAACCCCAAAAGCTCCAGTTTTTAACACAAAACTACAGAGGAAACAAAGGAGTAAAGAATGACCAAGTCATGCAGTAGACACTTCACACGAAATATTTTTAAGTGACCTTACATGTTATAAAGTTCACAAGGGTTTTAAAAGTATTCAGAGCTGAGGGAAACTTTGATTAGGAACTAAAGGGAATCAGAAATATCATATGAAAAAGTAGAAACTATTCATAAATGTGTCAAAATTTCAACATTGAAAGGGACAATAACCAAGATGAAAGCTTCAAATTCACTTCCCAGCACTCATTGTGTGACTCACAACTGCCTGTAACTCCAGATCCAGGAGATCCAATACCCTGTTCTGTCTTCCATTGGCATTGCATCATGTACATGAACACATACACACAATGCTTGCAGTTGAAAATAATTAAAAATAAAATAAATCTTTCTTTTTAAGGATCACAATGTCAATGCATCACCAATAGACTATCTCAAGCAGAAAAAAAAAATCTAAGCTGGGAGACAAACCTGATAAGTGTGATATTCAGACAAAATAAAGAATGAGGCATGATCATAATTTGTTAAAATTCTATGATGTGATCAAGAAACACAACCTATGAATCCATGGAATAGAAGAACAAGCTGAGATTTAAAAAACCTTAAGGAATAGAGGATCTATTCCATAAAATTACAAAAGAAAATTTCCCAAATTCATGTAAAGAAGTGCAAGTAAATAACTGAATGATTAGTATGCCTAGAAAAGTTACTTCTTAAAATTAGTGGAGTAAGAAATACAAGATAAATACAGATTTTGCGGAATATGCTTAAATATTCAAGTACTGTGTTTACATAGTTTCTGCCCCACACTCTCTCTTCCCATGTCTACCTTACTTTTCTCAAATTTATGACTTCTTTAGTTATAACACACACACACATACACACACACACACACCCCTATGTAAACACAGCCTGAGAGTCCACTTAGTGTTGCTTGTGTGTATATATGCTTAGGGCTGAGTTGGATAATCTATCAGGTTTATTCCCATAGAAGATTGATTCTCCCTCACTTATTAGCCATCAGTTCACTGTGATTCTTTATCTAAGAGTGGGGTCTTATGTCCCCATCCACACTGAAATGTCAATTGGTGTTGTCATTGTGCAAGTCTAGTTTAGGCAGCCATGTTGTCTGGATTTCATGGATGCAGTATCCCTGCTATATCCAGAAGACACTATCTTTCAGCAATCATCCTAGTCCTCTGGTCCTTATGATTTTTCTTCTACCTTTTCTGTGATGTTTCTGGAACCTTATGTACAGGAATTGTGCTGTAGATGTATCCACTGGGGGTGGGTTTTCCATAGTCTGTTGTTATCTGCATTTTGACAGGTGTATGGATGTCTGTAATAGTCTCTATCTGCTACAAACAAGAGTTCTTTGGTTGGAAGTGAGTGCTATATATCTGTGATGTAAGGATAGCTATGTAGAACACAGTTGGTGATTACACTGCTTTAGGAACGTGTCAATTGTAGGTTCTCCTTTACTGGGGTCCATGACCTCACAGTCACAGGTAGTTGACTAGGTTCCTAGTATCATGCATAAATTCTCGCCTCCTGAGTGAACCATAACTCTAATTAGAAAGCTGTTGGTTACCTCCAGGGTGTAGATGCCATTATTACACTCTTGGGTATATGTTGCTATGCTGGCCATTGTGATTTTACAGCTATGTAGGACTATTAATTGCATTTTGTTTTGGCATAGCACCATTAGATATTATGAGAGATAGTCCTCAAGGAGAAGCTCAAGGCCAGTTCCAGCTTGAGTCCTCCAGGTCCTGAGTCAAAAGCGTGTGATGTGTTAAAAATTTTTTATTTTTTTCTGCTATGAAATTTATTGCATGAGGGAATATTTTCTTCACTAGAATCTGATTATACCATTTCTCTCCTAGGAAAGATCAACTTAAAGCACCTTTGACTTTGTAAGACTTGTTTCATCCATTAACAGTAATTGGCAATAAAACCAAGGGGATGAGAAGTTTTAAATTCTATGATGGTGTGACTCTGTAGTCTCTGTGACTTGATATTGGTAAAGATGAGATTATTGAGAATGTTCATTGTATGACTCAAAACCACTGTCTATTGTGATATAGGTGAGTCAAAATGATGGACTTTTTGGATATGCTTTGTTGTGTCATGTGAGCAAGTCATTACTCTCCCTAACATTAGAATAAATTGATTCACTTTTGTATCATGAGGTGATATTTTGATTCCAAGGTTCCTTTGTTATTACAGGTTGACTTGTGGTAAATAATGAATATTTATTGATATTGAATGTAAAGGGATTCATTTATACTAAATAAATATTTTTCATTCTCTGGATACTGGGTAAGAATAGTTACATAGAATTATCTAGACACTCAGAGGAAGCTGAGGAAGCAGCTGGGTCTGTGAAGTGTTTTCCATGCAAGCAAGAGGACCTGAGTTCCATTCCCAGAGCCTATGTGATAAAGCTGAGTTTGCTGATAACACTTACAATCCAAACTCTGGGAGACAGAGACAGACACCTGAGGTTCTCTGGCCATCAAGTTTAATGTAAATATTTGTTGGTAAAGGTCAGATGTGGGCTTTTCATAAGAAAGGGCTTTACCACATGGAACATTTGGGGCTATGGTGCTAAATGGCTGACAGGTGCTTGGTGGGCCTGTCTGTTACTACCTTGTCCATCACTCTACCATTGCTCTCCCAAAAATGTACATTGGTCGTGGATGCTCCTAATTACTCTCATTAGATGGTCTTGCTTGGTTCTGGTACAAGAGATGAGCTCAAATGCACTTCTATCCTGATGGACTCAGCAGGGTAGCATCAAAAACACTGATGGTCCCCCACTAGGAACTTGGGTTTCTGGGACTCTGATACCATACACTATGAACCCCACCCTATGCCTTTGTGTTCCTGCCCTGGGCTATAAGTGGTGGTTCTCTGAGTCATTAGCTGTGGGTTCTGCTGTGGTTACTTCATGATTCTCACACAAGCACTCAGAAGACGTCATCAGGCAGAGGCAGTAAGGTAAAACTTTTCATAGAAAGCATGTGATGAAGCATCATAAAAGCAGAGAGGGGGTACAAGGTCACAGAGCCCACTCTGCCTTCTTCGTCTCCTAGAGGTTAAAAGACAGCAAGGATAACACTCTCAAAGCTGGGACCTAGGCGGTCTTCCAGGGAAGATGAAGCTCCTCTTGATCCTGCTGACATTTTCACTGGCCCCCAGGACAAAGGCAGGTGAGTGAGCAACACCTCACTTTAGTGGTCTAACCCCAGTGTTACCGGTATTAGGAGAGCAGAGGTCTTTCTCAGGAAGAGCCACTGAGTGCTATGCCCTTCCTGAGTCATATCCTTATCATCTAGAAAGTGCATTTTCCTAAAAGTACATGGTAAAGGGTAGAAACCTGCAAATCAGAAAACATTATATTCTCCAGGAGCAGATAGAATGGGCCTGGCTTCTGCATCTATGATGATATAGGCTTTCCTTTTACCACAAACTCATCAAAGAAGCTTATGTGTTGATGACCCCTGAGTAGATGAAATTGCTGTCATCAGAACAAGTGATTTTTCTTGACCCAGGCTACTTGGTCCCTTCCCATAACTCAGTGCTTCACAGGCTTCTGGTGGTTTCCCAGTATTCAATTATGAGCCACTGAGCACTCTGCTTTCTGGAATGCCAGCACCTGCATCTAGGAATGAAAGTCAGTGAGGAGCCCTGAAGAAATAAGATGCTGCAAAGTGTGAACTGAAGCCTTGATCTCTAGAAAGCAGCAGTATTCCAGGCATCACAGGGTTAGGAGCAAGGGAGAGGAGGTCTTAGAAACTCCCTGGGACCAGAAGTTAGAAGACAGACAAGCTGAATCAAGGAAATCCTTGATTTCCTTGTCCAGAGAATTATACTTGCCTCCAACTGTGTGGAAGGAAGATCTATAGACAAAGACCTATGTTTCCCTCCTTTTTAATGAGAACATGAGGGCATTCCTCCCAAGACCCTTCCAACTCCAGGCCTCCCTGGCTCCCAAATGCCTAGCAAATCTGGAGTTGCCACACAAAACCCATCTGGTGGACTAGCAGGTGCCCACAAAAAGGTTGGCTTTCGCTTCAGGGGAGATCATCGGGGGACATGAAGCCAAGCCCCACTCTCGACCCTACATGGCCTTTCTTCAGATCAAGAATCAGAATTCTGTGAGGAGATGTGGTGGCTTCCTTATACGAGAGGACTTTGTGCTGACTGCTGCTCACTGTTCAGGGAGGTGAGGAGCAAAAAACAGTCCATACCCTCCTGGAAAGATTCCATGGAGGCTTTGCCTTCATCCTAAGGAGCTTGGGATGAGAGAGGGTCTAACAAGTCTCATGGGGGAGAAACAGTCTGTCACCAGAGTCACTGATAAGAAATCAAGCACATTTCAACCAGGGTTAGCATTGCAATACGAGCTAAACAACCCAGTTTGCCTTCTTAGAGCTGACAAGGCTGCTGAGCACCTCTAGTGCAGCAACTGGTGCTTCAGGTTACCCCTTAACTTCCCTCAGCTAAAGCCCCACTCCGCCAGCCCTGCCTGTCCTTCACACCTCCTGGGCTACATCCTCTCTGACTCTACATCTCTTATCTCCACTCTGTTCTCTTCACAGCTCAATAAATGTCACGTTGGGAGCCCACAACATCAAAGAACAGGAGAAGACCCAGCAAGTCATCCCTGTGTTAAAAATCATTCCCCACCCAGACTATAATTCTAAGAAAATCTCCAATGACATCATGTTATTAAAGGTGAGTCCTGCTCCATCTTGGTCTCTCCTGCTCTCAGCCATCTCAATTCCTTCCCTTCCATCTTGTCCTTCATCGTGTCTCAGACCAACAGACCATGAGCTGGACTCTTGCTTCTTCCCCAACAGCTGAAGAGTAAGGCCAAGAGGACTAAAGCTGTGAAGCCCCTCAACCTGCCCAGGCGCAATGTCCATGTGAAGCCAGGGGATGTGTGTTCTGTGGCTGGTTGGGGAAAGATGGCCTCAAAGGGCAAAGAATCAAACACACTACAAGAGGTTGAGCTGACAGTACAGAAGGATCAGGAGTGTGAGTCCTACTTAAAAAAATATTACAACAATGCCAGTCAGATATGTGCAGGGGACCCAAAGACGAAACGTGCTTCTTTCCGGGTAAGTTGGGTTGCAGTCCCCTCCAGGCTCAAAAGGAATCTGGGACCTAGAGACCCAAACATGAAGGGACTCCTTTACCCACTGGCTGTGATCTTTCTCCCTTGGAACAATAGGAACCAGTAATGAACTAGGGTCCCCCAGAGCTGACAAGGAGCCTCTGTTGAAGGTAGCTTGTATAAAGGGAGATGTTTGCCACATAATACCTGACTCCAGGACCAGGCTTTAGAAAGCTGGGCTCCCTGAGCATGTCATAACCACAGCCAGGTATCTCCTCTGAGCAGACACACACTTTGTCAGTGGGCTTCCCCTCCGTGCTCATATCAGGCCCACTCACTGTCCCTATGTCCTTAAACAACAGCCTGGAGACAAGGGTCCCATACACCTCCATAGAGAGTGGATCACAGACCTGGGGAAAGGCAGAGGCTGGCCTCAGGTGCATTCCTAACCTTATCCACAGTCAGAGCTGGGAAGGCCAGGGTCCCCAGGCCTGCCCTCTGACCTCATAAGCAGAGGTTACAAGTCATGCTTTTCTGGGGAGGAGCCTGGATATGAGAGGGAGGTTGGGACTAGGATGAACAACATCTCAGTGTCCTGTGGCCCTCAATTCACAGGGGGATTCTGGAGGGCCTCTTGTGTGTAAAAAAGCGGCTGCAGGCATCGTCTCCTATGGACATAGTGATGGTTCAACTCCACGGGCCTTCACCAGAATCTCCAGTTTCCTATCCTGGATAAAGAAAACTATGAAAAGAAGCTAACTACAAGAAACAACATGGATCATTTTCTGAGTAGCCATCTTCCCTATAACTGAGTCCAGGATTGCTCTAGGACAGATGGCAGCAACTGAATAAAGGACTTTTTCCAGACTGGGAAGACTGGTTTTATGTCCATTCACAGGGACCAACTCTGTCCTTGGCAGGACAATGGAACACTTCTGCCACCATGCTGTGAAAACCCAGCTGACATCTTCCTATGGTAGTTTTCTCTCTCTACAAGAGAAGTAGAAAGTTTGCATTTGACCCAGGCATGCACTCCTTCCCCTCAGGGTCCTTAGAATGTTATTTAATGCAAGTCATCATTAATAGCTACCTAGAGAATTTTCATACAGTTTCACCCAAGTCTCTGATGTGTTCCCTGGAATAGAACAAGAAATGAATAAACAGAATTCCTTTTGGCTCTCTGTACTATTTTCTCCCAATACCAAGATTCATATGTTTTAAAAAGCGAATTTTCTTATCAAATGAAATCTTTAAATTTTTACATTAATTGCTTATTTTCAAGGTACAACCTGATCTTTTATGATATAAAATGATTAAATAAAACTAATTAACATATTCATTAATTTAAATACTTTTTACTTTTGAAGCAAGAAGATAAGCCTGTTTGATAGAAGTTTAAAAATGTACAAGGTACTATTAACTACCTGTTGTACAGTAGATATCAAAAAGTTATTCATGCCCTCTGATTGAAATTCTGTATTCTTTGATCAACATTTTCTGATTCTAATCTGTCCAACCTCCAGTAACCACGATTCTCTCGGTTTCTGCAAGTTCCATTGCTGTACATTTTAAACACAAGTGAGATCATATATTATTTTTTCTACTATGCCTAGCTTATTTGGTTTGGGATCATGTCTCAGTGTCAACTGTAAAGCTTTAGGAGATGGTCTTAGCTGTTTTGCTAGAAAGATGTAATAAAATAGAATCAAGAATAAAATGTGCCCACTTGTCATAATAGTAAGTAAAGGCTGCATAATATGAAATACAATGAGTTTTCATAATCACACTAAAAGAAGAAATAGGCTTGGGACAAATTTGTGTTCAAGGAAAAACATTTAAGTTCATGGATATAGCCACAGTTGTGCACTATGATAAGGCAAGGTATAATAAGCATATTAGAATGAAACACTGCTTTGAATGTGATATAATCCTTTAGTAACTCTCATTTTATGTAGCATTTTATTTCTGAGGTAATTTTCTAAAGAACTTTTTGTCTAAAAAGGTATAAAAAGGCCAAGGAAAAGAAATATAGTTGTGGTTGAGTGGTTTGGCTTGGGTAGTTCTGCCTCATCCATCCATCCACCCATCCATCCATCCGTCTATCCATCTACCCATCCATCCAAATGTATACATGTGTCTACATGTATGTGTGTAAGGTATATGTGTATATGTAATGCTTGTGGAGTGTAAGACAGAGGTGGCTGGGCCCAAAGAAAATGTGACTGTGTTAATGTGTAAATGAGAATGTAAATGTGTGTATGAATGTATATGTGTCTGTATAAAGCATCTTAATTTTTTTCTTTTCTTTCTCTCTGGTTCACAAAAAGTTAACTAGCCATGCCAGTGAAAGGCTTCTGGCGTCCTTTCTATAAAGGAGTGATAGCAATAAATCTTTTATCTAATTACCTGCTGTTAGCAATAAGTGTCAGTAGATCTAGAGGCTTGGAGCTTCTGGCCTCAGAGTAACTTAAAGTCAAGATAGGTATATGTCATTGTAGAAAGCAATACTACTACTCTTTCACAAGACAGACTCTTGCCCCCTGCTGATGCTTTTCCAACTTGCTGCTTCAGAGATGACCCAGCCTGGGGCTGGCCCCAGGCAATGCACCTCAATTCACTCATCTCACCCACCCCTCTTTCCCACCATCTACCTTTGCAACCCCTGCCGCCCAACAGAGAAAAAAAACCACTGTGGAAGCTGAAGTGTGCCAGAGTGTGTCCCACAGTATATCTTTTTGTCCACACTTCTTTGCTTGAAAACATTCATTGCAATGACTCATTGATCTGCTACTCTTTCAATATTGGAACCTCAATGATACTCCTCTCAGATATTCTGTTGTTGTCCTGTGTCTTGGAGATTTGTAGTTTTGGCTCTGAAGGACTAGCCACTTCTGGTATTTTAGCAGTTCATTGATGTTGGGACAGAGCAATTCAAAGCCCTGACCTGAGAAGTATCTGAGATGGTCAGCCTGCTGGCTCTCATGCCCTGCGGGTAAGCTCACATACAATCCCTGCAATCAGGGCCAGCTTTACCCTTCTGCCCAGGTGAGGTACAGGGCCTGCTTTCCTGCGTATTTTTGCCAGTAAGAGATATGGCCAGCTCTTCTGTTTGCCATTGATGGTGAGGGTTGAGGGAAGGGAGAAGGGTGTCTTTCCCTCACCAGCACTACTGCCCAGCAGTCAAGAGGCAGGGTCAGCTTTCCTGCACTCAAGCTCACCTGCAACCCTGTATCCAGACCCAGCTCTTCTGTGCTGCCCAGGGGAGGTACAGAGCCTGCTCTCCATAATGCTATAGTATGTTGTGGGTAGGGCTAACTCTCCTGCTCTCATCACCCCAGTGCCAGCTCTCCAACCTGCCACAAATAGTGAGAGGTGACAGGGAAGGAAGGTATTTCTCATTCATTCATTCCACCACAGGGAAACATATAGTAGAGCCAGCTCTTCCATGCTTGTATCCTCATGGTCAGCTTACCCACAACTCCTGCAATGTATGGAGTCCAGACATCCTGAGTACTGCAGCTTGGCAGCAGGAGGGAGAGGTCTGCTCTCCTGCTTTCATGTCTGTAGAGTCAGTTTTCCCATGATGCTCAGTTGAGGGATGGGGCCAATTCTGCAGAGTTCTCAAACAACAATATATCCCCAGGTGGCATCCCAGACCAGAGACATCCACCTGGTCTTTAATGGTAACAAACTTGCTATTGCAGGGCCATGGACACAGATGTGGCCCCCAGTGGCAACACAGGCTAGGACCTCTCCATGTTCTCAGCATCACCAGATACAACAGGCTGTTTCTCACTACCTTGAGTCTTTAGTTCTGCCTCTCTTCATTGTGCCCACATCCTTCTATTTCTCTTTTTCTTCCATTTCTATACTACTTACTTGCTTTTCTTAGTAGTGATGTGGTCTCTGAGTACCTGGGGTCATCTAGGAGCAGTCTGAGGAGTGCTGTGCCCAGCTCATGCATTATGGTGCCAGACTTGGGTCATCTAGAGTATAATCTGCCCCTGACCCAGGCCTTCATGGTGCCAGACTGGTGTTCATCTCAGGCTAGTTCCCTGTCTGTACCCTTGGTGCTGGAATGGAGGTGGTCTTAGGCTTGCTTTCTCCAGGGAATGTTATACTAATCACTCAGATAGTCATAGCTCAGAACACTGAATATGGGCATAGCCTCTCTCTTCTCTGCCACCTACTGATGTGCATGTGGTACAGCAGCCATATCTACAATGACTCTAGGGGCAGCAAGCGGGGGACTTTTTATCTTGGGTGTACATATGAAATTTCCAGGCCCATAGTCCTGGTAGTTAGGGAGGGGATTCTCAATACCATGGAAAGAGGGAGAGGGCCAGGAAAAAGGGGGAGAGATCCCATCCTCAAAAATAGACAGGTGGGGAAATTTTAGGCTATTAATTGACAAAAGTCAATTTGGAGTTCATTTAACCTGTATGACATAGATTTAAGTCAATTTATGCGAATTCTTAGGTTTATAAAAAGAGATAAAATTTTTACCACTGTTTTCAATCTTTACTGAAGTCCATATTGTAGAAAGAGCAGTAAATTTATATCTGTGTTATAGTAAAAGTTTGTGGACCCAAACAATAGCATAGATAGTGGGAAAGAAATCTGAAACAACTTTGTATTTACCTTAAATAATTTTCTCAGACCCACAAATAACTTTTCTAAACCTTTACGACTTACTTAAGCTTCCACATCCTCAGACCTTAAAACATTTTCTTAGATCATCTTACAGACTCTCACAGGTTAGCTTTTATAGTCTCACATCTTTTCAACTTGCATTTATATACCTTAGTACATTGTTTTAGACTTTCATAACTTGAAGCCTTTATAACTTGTTGAGTAGAAAAACTAGGGCATCATATAGTGGAGGTGGTGTTAGTTTGCTGACATACACTGCAGGTTTGGATTAGGTTCTGTTAAAAAAGTCTTATCTGATGGGGTGAGAGTGAGATGGTTTTGAGAAAAGGATAGAACTGATTTAGTATTAGAGTGAAATATTTGATGTAAATATCAGATACTATCCTATGTTGAAGGAGGGTTAGGTATGTTGCTTTCTGAATTGTGTAGTAGGGTGGCCTGGAGGGACATGTGATGAGTCCTAAGTGATAAAAAGGCAGCTTGATAGGCTATTGTGTTGGTGTAATTATTGCCTTTACTGACGATGGAGGGGTCTGTCTCATGTGCCTTGCAATGTACCCAGCCAATTTGAGAAAACAAAAGTGAGGCCTTGATAAGGTCATGGGTATATGAAGAGTTAGTAATTGAGTTATCTTTTGTTTTTGAAATCCTTGTTCCTTCCAGATGGTGGAGTGTGTTAGCAAGATAAGAAAAACACATATTGAGTCTGTATATTCTGTTGCTAATGTATTTTTGGCAATTTGGAAGGTTCTGGTGAGGGCTATTAATTATCCCTGTTGATTGACAGTGTGTGGGGGTTAAGGAGGCCATCTTGATGATAGCATCATCTGGAACCACTGTGTATCCTGCAACATTGTAGCTTTTTGGGAGGAGGGAGAGGCATGTTTATAAAAAGTGCAAGCAGAAGTCACTGGGGGATTCTTTTTATGTGAGAGGATGAGGGAGGAGAACTTTGAGAGTCTCTGGATAGGAGTGAAGAGGGCCTGGGAAATGTTGGGGTAAAGAGAAAGCATGGAGGGATTGGAGAAAGGACAGGTAAGAAATAAGGGTAATGAGTTTTTGATAAGAGAACTTGGAAGGATAAAATTTGAGGTGATGGGAGCATTTGAAGTTTTTTGTAAGGATGGGAGGGAGAGAGAGAGAGAGAGAGAGAGAGAGAGAGGAATACACTGTGAGGGAGGAATCCCAGAGATTGTTCAATTTATAGAGGAACAGAGATCTGTGGCAAGAGCCCTTAGACAGGGATTCCAGCCTATGGCGATGTCTCTTAGGTTCTGAAGATGTAAGTTTCAGGGGCTTAAGTGAGGTTTTATAGATTGGGGGTGGTGGTGAGAGAATTTTCAAGATAGGTGACTTGAGAAGAGTTGAGCTTTGGAACATAGAACTGAAGAAAATGATGAGTGAGGCAGTATGAGATTGGCTGTTAGAGAGAGAAAGACTACAAAGGAGGAGGCTATCCACATACTGTAGCAGGCATGAGGTCATCTACATACTATAGCAGGCGTGAGGTCATCCACATACTGCAACAGACAGTTTGCCATTCATATAGTGTAGCAGACAGCTGGTAATCCATATACTGTAGCAGGCAGGAGGAAAAAAGGGGAGAAGCAGGCCAGGACCTTAGTGACTGCCTGACCAGAAAAGGGGGACTGTGTCTGAATCCTGGGGTAAAGACAGTCTAGGACAGTTGTTGGGATTGGAGGAGTCTGTTCAAGCGAAGTAAAAATGATATCAAGAATGAGCATCCAGGGATATTGAGGGGGAATAAACACACCTTTAAGGTCTAGGATCGAGTGTTTCCAGTGATAGTGGAAAGCATAATATAAGGTGGAGAGAGACACCGGCAGTGTTAATGGAGCAGAGGCTTTGGATAAGTGGAAGGTTCAGTTAGGCTTTCGACTGACTATGGGAGTATTGGTAGGTGAAGAGGTAGGGTGTAGAATCTGTTTAGATAACAGAGATTGGATTATGGGTTTGAGGCCTCTGAGACTGCTTAAGTGCAAGGGACATTGGGGTTTAGAGATGTAGTCAGAAGGGTTTTTTCACAGGACATCAAAAAAGCTTATGTACAGAGAAGAAGGTCTTAGTGGGAATTAGAGGGGCATGAGAGGGATCAAACATGGGTAAAGATAATCAAAATACATTGAAAAAATGTATAAAGTTGTCAAAGAATTTTATAAGGTTCACAGGATTAAATCATTTCCCAAGCCAAGAATTCTTAAGGAGTGACTGTGCTAAGTCTGGTGACATCATTCTTATTTCAGAAGTTGGATGGCCAAGTTGAGGACATTCTAGCAGCATTATTAAGTTACTTGCCAAGAAATAAACAAAATTCAGAACAGACATCACAATGAAAACCAAGTTACTGCTTTAACTTTCCAGTGTATTTAACTACTCATTTCATCCTTAAGGTGAAAATCAACACGTTAATACCATGTTTCAAACTGTGAATGGTCCACGTGAATAAGGAATTATGGTGAGCTCAAATTAAATCCAGTTAATTGTATGCATTTCAACCCAGCTGAACAACGGTTTGTGAACAGTGATATAACTTTGCTTTGAATTTAACTTGAGAATGTAAAATCATATTTCAAGATGCCCAGAAATATTGTCATTAGTTTGGTATTTTCACAAGTCCATTTTTGGTCCTTTAAATGGAATGCATAGAACTATAATCCTTTGTTCAAATTAAAAATATTTTTTATCATGTCCCTTCATGACTTTTATGGGTTCTTCTCAGGCACAAATGCTCACACACTGCCATCACACTGTATTCATGCCGCCATTTTTTCACAGCACCTACATTTGTAAGCAATTAGTTTCAAGAATTGAGCACACAGGAATTCAGAGATGGCTCAGAAGTCTTAACAGTACACACTGCACTTGCTGAAGACCCAAGTTCATTTCTGAACAGCCACATTGAATAGCTCATCACCACTTGTAACTTCAGCTCCTCTGGCTTAAGAAGTCACTGAGATAAGAGCTATGTTCTTCAAGCCAGAGTGTTAGGAGTTGACTCCTAGAAGAAAGTGGCTATCATCTTTGCTACCATCTCAAGCCATATACCCTGACAAGAGACTTGTTTTCAACAGCCCACAACAGCTGAGCACACTCTGATAAACATTTTGTTTTTCTCACATATCTTGTTTTGTTGTTTAATGCCCCCAGCTGCAGGCACATGTGGTAAAGTGTCTTCAGCTGTGTTCCCCTGCTTATGCTTATATATACCCAGAATTTTCTTTCAATAAACAGGACTTGAACAGACTCTCTGTCTAGTCTCCATTCTCGTGTCTCTTGCACCCTCATCCCCATTCTCTCTCTTGATAGACTCTGTTGACTGACCCTTGGACTAGAGCAAACATGGAGCAGTATGGATCCAGTCACTTGGTGCCTCAACTTTGGAGCTCCAGTAAGTGGGATACAGTGAAGGACACTGTGGGAATTGGAAGTACACATCCTCACTCCTGTGCTGGAGAATCTGTTGACTGATGGAGCTGGCTTGGTCTTGGCACTTAACGTGAGGCAGCAAGAACAAGAGACCTAGTGAGGGACATTACTGGAAGACGAGTCTGCCAAAAATTCAGAAGTGAAACAAAGGTGATCGCCACAGGAACCTGCTATGTAGAGACCAGTAGGTCATAGTAGCGAAAATGGGGCAAAAAACAAGTCAACAGGAACAGATGAAAAAGGCTTTAAAGACTTGAGGAGTAAATTGCAGGTTGCTCTGAGTCAAGAGAGTAAAACAGATAAATAAATAAATAGAAGGTTGCTCTAGGCAGAGAGCTGAATAGAAAGATAGTGTTAATCAGTTATATTAGATTGATTTAACTTTCAAAACGGGTGTGATTCTGAGTTGTGTAGTTCTATTTTTCCTCTGGATAAAAGGTCAGTGTAAAGGCTTTTCTGGTTACTGGCTCAAGGATAGGCTGATTTGGGAAAAAAAGGTTTTTATATGTATTTTCTGATGCGGTCATATGAGGTAGTAGTTATATCTTCCAGAATTATACGGATCAGACATTACAGAGGTAGGCCTCCAGAAGACTAGATTCCAGAGAATCAAACAAAGTAATTATCTTGATACTAAAATTTGTTTTGAGATTTATTTGTATATTACAGAATACACAGCCTTGGTGAATGAATCTTCTTGTCACCTGCATGTCCACTGATGTCCTGGACTTCCAACTGGATGCAGTTAAGACAGACATCAGATGCTTATCAATTTACCCTTCCCCTCACTCCTCTTCTAATATCTCAATGCCCATATTCAGCTTGAAGAAGTTAACGAAAAGTTAGTGCCCTAATTCCCTGGACTTGGGGGCTGAGGTAGTTAATATTAGATTGTCTTTCTAGGAAAAAGTAATGATTTTATTGGAACAGTAAGGAATAGTTAAAATTGATTACACAGTTATAATCTACTGGTAAAAATATGTATAATTGTTACTAAGCTGATGCAAATTCAAGGGTTTCATTGGTATAATTTCTTCTGTTAATTCAATTTTAATTCAATTTGTGGGTACAAGGCTTAGACATTTTACTCCTCCAACACAGGGGGTTGTGTGTTGCCCTTCAAAAAGAGTGTTGCTTTTATACCAACTATTCAGGCATTGTTAAATCTCTTTTCTCTTGGATCCATGCTGTTCAACAGACTGACAGCTTTTGTATGACAATAGATAGATGCTATTCAAATGAAACCCATACAGGTCTGTTATTACAGGCTGGAAGTAGGGGAGTCTAAAATCTCTGTCATCGAGACTGATGAGGATTAACCTCTAACTTATGTGCTAAGCCAGATAGTCAATAACGGGTAAGAAAACACCTCAAGACCCTTTCCTCTAACTGGGTGGCCTCACCATCCTAAGACAAGAGCTCAACCAAACGGCTGCGTATTCAAAGACTGGAAAGGGAGGGTACAGTCTTTTGTTCTGACCTAAGGCAGGCACAGTTTCCATAAGTTTTCCCAGCCTTCCCTTTTGAAAAAAAATTTAAAAAGGGGGGCCTGTTGAGAGCCAAAACCTAGCAGAAAGCGGCTATCATCTTTGCCACCATCTCAAGCGATATACCCTGACAAGAGACTTGCTTTCAACAGCCTGCAACAGCTGAGCACACTCTGATAAGCATCTTGTTTTTCTCACATATCTTGTTTTGTTGTTTAATGCTCCTAGCTGCAAGGCGCATGTGGTAAACTGCCTTCAGCTGTATTCCCCTGCTTATGTTTATATATACCCAGGATTTTCTTTCAATAAATGGGACTTGATCATACTCTCTGTCTTGTCTTCATTCTTCATGATTCTTGTCCCTCCAACCCCACTCTTTCTCTTGCTAGACCCTGTTGACTGACCCTCGGACTGGAGCACTTGGCTCCCAAATGTGGGGCAGCATGGGCCAGAACACCAGAGAATGAAACTTTTATTTTTAAAAGCAATATAGAAGAATATCCACCATGATTTCTGTTGTATTCCTTTGTTTTTATGATAAAAGCATACCAAAATAAATATTATTACTTAGAGTTGTTCAGTTTATTTATTAGATATCACAAACATGGACCCTGCCCCATGGTTTTAAAAGATTCTCTCCAAATGAACTCTCACATAATTAAGATTATTTTTTTCTGTAGGCTTTTGTTGCTTATCTGTATGTGCACATATTGTGTCACTTATACACAGTCTCTTTCAGAGTGAATGATCATCATTCATTATAGCTTGTGTAAATAATGTACACCACAAAACAGTAATCTTGCAATATGGAGCAGAGAAGCCAAAATGTTGCATGCCCATGGACTAGATGATTAATTTTTAGGCAATTAATACTTTTAATTGCATAAAGACTAAAGACTAAAGCCCACTAACTAAGATAAGAAAGCTTCTCTTGGTCCCAAAATATGAGAGGAGAAAATTCAAAAGAGTTTGAAATCCATGAAGCGCCGGGCAGTGGTGGCATATGCCTTTAATTTCAGCACTTGGGAGGCAGAGGCAGGCATATTTCTGAGTTTGAGGCCAGCCTGGTCTACAGAGTGAGTTCCAGGACAGCCAGGGCTACACAGAGAAACCCTGTCTCAAAAGACCAAAAAAAAAAAAAAAAAAAAGATTTCTGAAATCCATGAAGCAGTGATATAAAATCAGGATCCAGTAGCTCTGCTGTTTTCTGGATACACACACACACACACACACACACACACACACACACACACACTCACACACATCTGTGCTCAAGGCGTGACCAGCCTTTCTCACCTCCCAGAGGATCTCACACAGCTCAGAATCTAGTGCTCTAAGCACAGGCTCTCAGCTGATCCCAGTCAAGATGGGCATTTTCAAAAGATGCAACCCTCTGTCTCTCATTCCTGGATGTAGCCCATTAAATAACAATCACGATCTAATCTTGGACCTTGTTTCTTTATAGAAAATGCTAGGCAAAGTGGTAGAAAATATCCTTGGAGTCAACATCACGGAAGCCAGTGCTAATCTAAAGATCTTACTGACCTTTGAATTCAGTCCTGAAGCTCTTGCCTCAGAGATAAATGATAATACCTAATAATCTATATGTGTCATTTATGATTTGTTATTGTATTTAACTATGGATTAGAGTAACACATGGTCATTGGATATGGGTCAAACATTTGCCTTTAAATTTTTCTGACTTTCTAGAAGTTTCAGAAGAGTTAGAGTTAAGATTAATTCATGAGAATATTCATAAGATATTGTTCTACAGTATGATCAGTAGCCCAAATAATTAATGAGATGATGTTCTGCAATACAATATGAATTCTTACTAAGTACTGTGTAACTGTGAGTTTAACAGCCAGTAACAGCAGTCTTATAACTGCTGTTAAGATAAATTGTCAGTTTTGTTTAAAAAGGAAAGAAAGAAAAAAAGCAAAAGGAAGAAAGAAAAATCAAAGAACACAAGAGATCTTATTGCAATACAAAAGGATGTAAGAGTTAGAAAAGGACACATGTGTCTCCGTGCAGTCACTGTGGACTTCCTGGGGTCTCAGCCTCCTCAACCACAGCCTCCAACCTTGTACATTCTTGGTCTTTCTTGGTCATTCTTGGTCTCTGTACATTCCCAGCTCAGCTCATAGGAGGTCAATGTGGTGACAGTGTCATTTTTAACCAAACCAGAAAACTTCCTTAAGTAATATGACGCTGATCAGAAGCAAAGGTGCATAGATTTAAAATGCCTGTGAGATCCCTGAGCACACACATCCTTCATCCTTTTCCAAGGGTGGTGTCTACTCTGCCCTCCTTCAACCTGAGCAGCCTTCCTGGGATGATGTTACAAGTCCTGATTCTCCTGACCCTACTTCTGGCTCTTAGAGCTGGAGCAGGTGAGTGACCACACCTGTCCCTGTCCCATTGGTGTCATTCCATAACACCTCTGCTGTCTTTCTGCCTTGCAGTGGTCAGGAATTGTCTTGGTACTAAATCCAAGAGATTTCTGAATGTCAGGTCCCACTCTGAATACAGACTTGGAAATCTGACACTGGCCTGATTTTCAACAAGGTCTGAAGAAAGGAGATGTTTTCAGAAAACAGTAGGCACTAGCTTCTCCCAACATTTTTTCATCACCTGGAGACTGGATAATCCTTAGAAAGAGGTGTGGCAGAGAATGCAAAGATACAAAAATGTACATCACTAATGTTATTTCAGCCTAGGGAAAGGGGAACTTTAATGAGGCTTAAGATTCAGCCAGGATTATTTTATGTGCAATGAATCCAGTCTTCAAAAGCCTTGAGAAGCTGCAGATTCTACTCTCAATCACCCCCCCACACACCTCCAGATCTACCCTCATGACCTCAAATATTACTCCCAGACACCAAATAGTCTAGGCTTTTCTTTCAGAGGAGATCATCGGAGGCAATGAGGTCAGTCCACATTCCCGTCCTTACATGGCATATTTTGAGTTTCTGAATGTTAATGGGAAGAAGATGTTCTGTGGAGGCTTCCTGGTTCGAGACAACTTCGTGCTGACAGCTGCTCACTGCAGAGGAAGGTGAGGAAAAGCAGCTAGCTCACATTTTGTGAGACACCCACAGGAGCTTCTGTCCTCTATTGTGGAAGCTCCCCTTAGTGCTCACTAGAAGGTAGGGTTGTGAAAATTAATGTCTGACAAGAGGTACATTTGAGGTAAAAGGATGAGAGGTTACAGCCAGCAGTATGCTTAGTTGATCAACTGAACAACAAAAAAGTAGTGGTTGAGATTGAAAGTTCATATTAAAAGTTGATGCAAACTTCAGAATAATGCCTAAATGAAAGAGTGAGCCCCCAGGAATCTCATGTCCTTGAGAAGCAGAGAGCTTGAGTTCTGACCCTGAGGTACTCCTGTGTCTACAAGTCCCCTCAGCTAGAGCCCCACCCTGCCTACCCTCCTTTCACAGCTCCTGAATTGCATCCTCTCTAACTTCACACCTCTCCTCTCCACTCTGTTCTCTTCACAGCTCAATGACAGTAACATTGGGGGCGCACAACATCAAAGCTAAGGAGGAGACACAGCAGATTATCCCTGTGTCAAAAGCCATTCCCCACCCAGCTTATAATCCTGATGACCGTTCCAATGACATCATGCTATTAAAGGTGAGACCTGCCATCCTCCTACTCATATACCTTCACCTACCCTTTAGTGCCCACCCCTCATCCCACCCCTGGTGTCTGTGCTCTGCTTGGTGCAGGGCTTCTCCCTGACCTTGATTCTTCCCTCCTTCCATCATGAGTTTTAATGTAACCAAGAGAACAAAAACCTCTTGGATGAGCTGGTTTCTCCTGACTCTTCCCTATCAGCTGGTCAGAAAGGCCAAGAGGACTAAAGCTGTGAAGCCCCTCAACCTGCCCAGGCGCAATGCCCATGTGAAGCCAGGAGATGTGTGCTATGTGGCTGGTTGGGGAAAGACAGCCCCAGACGGGGAATTCTCAAACACACTGCAAGAGATTAAGCTGACAGTACAGAAGGATAAAGTGTGTGAGTCCCAGTTCCAAAGTTCTTACAACAAAGCGAATGAGATATGTGTGGGAGACTCAAAGATGAAGAGAGCTTCCTTTGAGGTAAGTAGGATTACCTTCAACTCTGGGCTCAGTTGAAGGGGAAAGGAATCTGGGACCTACAGACTCAAATATCAAGGGACTCCTTTGCCCACTAGCTGGATATTTTCTCTCAGGGAACAGCAGGAACCAGTAACTAAGTAGGGCCTCTGAGGTGACTAGGAGGCTCTGCTGAGGGTAACTTGTATAAAGGCAGGAGTCTGCAACACAATACTTTTCTCCAGGCTCAAGCTTTAGAAAGCTGGGCTCCCTGAATCTGTCATAACCACAGTCCAGGTGTCTCCTCTGAGCAGACACACACACTTTGTCAGTGGGTTTCCCCTCTATTCTCACATCAGGCGCACTCAATTTCCCCATGCCATTAAACAACAGCTGGGAGACAGGTCCTAAACACCTTTATAGAGAGTGGATCATAGACCTGGGGAAAGGCAGAGGCTGGCCTCAGGTGCATCCCTAACCTTATCCACAGTCAGAACTGTAAAGGCCAGGGTCCCGAGGCCTTCCCTCTGGCCTCATAAGCAGAGAGTACAAGTCATGCTTTTCTGGGAGGAGCCTGGACATGAGAGGGAGGTTGGGACTAGGATGAACAACATCTCAGCGCCCTGTGCTCCCACAATTCACAGGAAGATTCTGGAGGGCCTCTTGTATGTAAAAAAGCAGCTGCAGGCATTGTGTCCTACGGGCAAACTGATGGATCAGCTCCGCAAGTCTTCATGAGAGTTTTGAGTTTTTTATCCTGGATAAAGAAAACAATGAAACACAGCTAACTACAAGAAGCAAACTAGATCCCCTTCTAACTAGCCATCTTCCCTATAACCAAGTCCAGGATTGTTCTAGGACAGAAGACAACAACTGAATAAAGAACTTTTTCTGACTGCAAAGGCTGGTTTCATGTCCATTCACAGGGATCAACTTTGTGCTAGGAAGGTCAATGGAATACCAGTTTCTGCTCACCCCAGCTCTATGCACACATCTTCCCAAAGTTCAGGCAACTCTGTTGTTCAGGTCAGTTTTGCTTGTCCTAGTCTCTCCAGTGCCTGCCCTCTGACAGGCTAAAATGAGCATAATCAAGAGAAAAAGTTGAATGTCTCCTTTCTTGGGGCTCAGGGTCACCTGCTACTTCCTCTGTGTCATATGGAAGACAGGAGAAGAAAAACACCATTGTCATTAAGATGCAGAAGAGAGAGCTCAGGACACTGGTAGATGGGCCTTTCTGGATAGGATGACTCTTTCCCACAGCTTCATCATTAAGGGGATAGCTCTTGCATTAACCTTGTCTCTCATCTAGGAAGAGTTTCCCTGTCCTTCTCTGGAAACAGAGCCAGACTTCCTCCAGCCTCCCTGCTCCAGCCCCATCTCTTTTATCCCTAGTCAGATGAATCTAGCAACTTGTGTGCTTAAGTCCATGGGGGTCTGATCACAATCCTACTTCTTCCCCCTACCTAGGACACTCAATGCAGCATGTGGTTAAGTCCATTAGGGCCTCAGCCCTGTGCTGAAAGACCAACTTGCCCCCTCTTAGAGAGGGGTTTCCCAAAGGTCCAGACCAGAAATGGAATCTGGACCTTTGGTGGCCAGGACTGTCAGTATCTCTCCCCAAAACCATGCCCAGGCCTAAGGTATCCCATCCCAATCAGCTCCGTTCCCTCCTGTGTGCTCAGAGTCCATAGGAACAAAGTCACTCAGCAGCATGGGCCTCTCTGAGCTTGATCAGCTCAGCCACTGTTGCCTCTAGGCTGAGACTCCCTGTTGCTCCCCTGGACTATATCCATCTTTTATGTCCAAAAGAATAGAAGAACTAGAAAATTCTACTTCTTCATGAGTCAACACCGAAGGGCATGAGGTGTGGAATTGACTTCAGTCACTTAGATTCTAGTGGGAACATAGTGAGAAGAGCAGCATTTTTGTCTAGGGGAGGGGGCAGTGTCTAGAGGACAACTCACCTGGGACAGCCTTGGCGTGTTTATTTTAAAGATAACAGAAATGACTATAGCAGGTTGAAGTCATAAGAGATGCACATACGCAGAAGCATAATTCAGAAACACAAATGAATATGAGTCAAGGAGGCTGTTATAAAATAAGAACCTGGCATGGAGAAGTAGCTCTACTATTTAGAAATTATCTGTGAGTGCTGTGTCCATGGTGTGCAAGATGTCCTGGGCTTCTCTCCATGTTAGGCAGCTCTTTGCATGAGACTGGAGGAAGAATGTGTGCCTTCATGTAAAAACAAATGTCTCTTTGTGTTGGATTCACATTGCTAAAATATCCAACCTGCCAGGATTTCTAAATCCTGTGCTTTAAAGTCCAGGATTTGAAGGCAGAGGCAAACAGATCCCTATGAGTCCACTGAAAATTGCTTGGTTTAACTTAAGCAAAATAAAAACTCCAAGCAGCCTTGGATTGAGAGTCTTGTAGCAACAGAAGCATCCCAGATGTCATGATTTGTAGCTATACATTAGTGTTTCTATGTTCCTAGTAGTCACAATGATATATTCTCTTGTGAGATGAAGTAAAATTTTTCTCTGGATCCCATAACCTCCAAAGGCATGTGTGTATATTGGAAGAGAAGTTAGTGTCACACTGTTTGTGAAAGAAAACTTGAATCCAATCCATGCCCTACAAACAGACTAAGGCCCTAGCACCCTTGTAAACAACATAAGCAAAGAAAAGTGTAGGATCAAAGAACAATGCAGGTTTCAAAGTCATACAGACAAAAGTGTATTCAATGTGGGTGCTATATTACTTTGAGGCAGTGGTTCTATCTTTTGAAATAACTTTGAAAATTACAATTGCATATCCTTAAGAAGGAGACAAAATATTTCTACAAAAGGTAATAGTTGAGCTAAAATTGACCAAAAATCAAACATGTTAGGACAGAATCTGAACCAAGGATTCCTTAGCCACTGAGGCACAAGTGACCTCCAGTGTTATCTATTCTACAGTCAGATGAGCCCATGCTCAGAGCCCTGTTTCCTCCCAGGGCTGCATGTCTACAGTTATTCACAGCCAGCTTGCTTTGACTCCCTTGGGCACATACTTGAGTAGACTCAGAGCCAGGTAAATGCCTTAAACAGAGCCTGCTTCAGATTCCTCTGCTGTATAGAAGTAGTTCTTCGTCCTTACAATTGTCAAAAGAGTATATTGTCTTCCCTTAACATCTCTGTACTGATTCTGCTGAACCTCAGAAGGGAAATGCTTCAACTGATCAAGACTCAAATTGTCTGTTTCTCCGGGCCATTGTAGTCCCATCACAGCAAGAGAGGACTGTACGATACTCTTGAAGGACACAGTAAATGCAAGATGCCTCAGGGTTTTCCTGGTTTGTGCTGGGAAATATGTACTGCTATACTTCCTTTGTTCTGTCCCTAGTTCATAATCTTCAAGTACCATTTTCTGTGGATTTAGATATTACATAAAGTTTCTAGTTTCTATTTTTGTCCCAACCTACCTTTATTTGGTGGATATTTTAGTGAGTATGTTCCCCATAGACTCATGTATTTGAACACTTGATTTTCAGCTGTGAGTGCAGTTTGTAGAGGTTTAGGAAATATGGTCTTGCAGAATATTGCTGGGGCTTTGAGCTTTCAAGACCCCATGCCATTTTCTAGTCTCTGTCTCTGTCTCTGTCCCTTCCTCCCTCCCCCCCCCGTGTCTGTGTATGTGTGTGTGTTTATGTGAGTGTTTGTGCATTTACAAATGGTTTGAGCCTCAGCTTCCTGCTCTGTCTTACACATTTTGCCACCCTCCTAACTGAGATGGATACACATGCCTCTGGAACCATGAGCACTGAACAATCTCTTAGAAGTTGCCTTCATCATGGTGTTTTACCCAGTAACACAAAGGTAAGAAATCATATGCTTCCACCCAACATGTTTGGGAGAAAAGTGTAGGACTGGGTTCATTTGCCATATTGCTCAGGGCTACCTGGCCTGAAAGCATCATGGCATGGCTTTGGAGGAAAATAGCCACAGCAGAATGACAACTGGCTACAGGATCAGGCTGCTGGCCTACTTGAAGTAGTTTATCCTTAAAGCCAAAAATGTTTCCCTAATAGCTGCAACCTTGGTTTCCAAATCAAAGGTGTGTGAGACAAATTATCCCCCGAAAATGATTACATTTTGCCTTCTCAGCCAGGTACAGTGATATTTGCCTGTCATTCCAACTCTTGGTGGGCTAAGATAGGAGGAAAGACATTCAAAATAATTCTTAGCATAGAATATCATTTGATAAGACCTCATGCTGAAGCTGGAACCTGCTGCTTGGTGTATTGTTTGGTTCAGTTTGGGGAGTGCAGATGTGTCTTAGTTATGCTATGAACCCAGAATCAGGTATGCTAACTTAGCACTTATTTTTCCCTAGTCCTCAACCCCCTGGGGTTTGGGCAAAAACCACGCAGCTAAAAATCCAATTCTCCCTGCCTCCTGTTCTTAAAGGGACAGAGTATGTTTTTCATTTGGGAATCTGAAATTAATTTGTCTTTAAAAAGTGAAATTTTCCAGACTTTGAGGCATCAATAGGTTGTAGAAATTTTTAATCCTGTCCTGGGGTTTCTACACTGACTTTCACCACTAACTGCCAGGATAAAAGACACATACAACCTTTACATTCACATTAAGCATTAAACAGCACAAGAGCTCAGCAGATATCTACCCTCTATGCTATTAAAACCTATTTTTCTATAAATAACCCCAAGTCATTACTATATTTCATCCAGGCTGCTCTTAAAACTCCATTTGGGCCATGCTTTCTTGACTCTTAACCCATGGAAGCTTCTCATTCCTCTTCTTGCACCTTCTTCTGCTCATGGTTCTCTTCTGACCCCAAGCTGGGGAAAACTATACCAGCTATGTCTCTTCTGGCCAGCTACTGGGTGTTGGCATTTGATTTACCACTTGGAAATAACTCAGGGGCAGGGAAACAGCTCTACATGCAGACTCCAGGTCCTGTGGGCCCACACTTAGCATTACAATAGTCAGCAAGACCAAACCTCAATAAATGAATCTCAAGTTTTTTCAGGTATAGGTTGGCCATTTCATCCATCTCTGCTTCATTCCCCATTTCTGAATTTCTTGTAGACAGATTTATTTTGAGTTGAACTTTATGGGTGGGTTAGTGTGCCTATCGCTCCACTGGGGTTCCTGCTCTTCCGGGTCCATATCCCCAATGCTGTGCATCACAGATAAGACTTTGACTCTTGAGCACCTTCCTTATCCCAGGTCTCTGTCACATCCTGAAGATGCCCTCTACCTCTCCAAACCTGCTGGTTGCAGATTTCCCTTCTTTATCTGGCCATCTCTCTTGCCCCTCCCCACAACTGATCTTGACCTCAGCGATTTCCCTTCCTATTCACTCTCTCACCCAGATCCATTCCTCCGTCTGCCTTTTATGACTAATTTATTTCCCCCTTTAAAGTGAGATTCTAGCTTTCTCACAATGCCTTCCTTCTTCTTTAGCTTCCTTGGGTCTGTGGAGTGTAGCATGGGCATCCTGTATTTTATGGCTAATATCCACTTATAAGTGAGTGCAAACCATGCATGTTCTTTTGAGACTGGGTTATCTCACTTGGGATGATATTCTCAAATACCATCCATTTGCCTGCAAAATTCATGATGTCTTTGTTTTTAATAGCTGAAGAGTATTCCATTGTGTAGATGTACCATATTTTCTTTATCCATTCTTCAGACCACCATGGATTAAAGCTGGGCATCAACAACAACAGAAACACCAGAAAGCCTACATACTCATTGAAAGGGAACAACTCTACTCAGTGATCTCTGGGTCATGGAAGAAGGAAACCAATTAAAGATTTTCTACAATTCAGTTGAAACAAAGGCACAACATACCCAAATTTATTGGACCCCAATGAAAGCAGTGCTA